ATCATGTATTTCTGTCTTTTACTTTATTAACATAATGTATTACATAATTTACATATGTTAAAACAACTTTGCATTCCTAGGATAAGTCTCAGTTGATCATGGTATATGTTGCTTTCTGTATGTTATCAAATTCAGTTTGCTAATATTTTGTTAAAGATCCATGTTCATGAGGAATATTGGTCTGTACTCTTCTTACAGTTTTTTTAACCCGACATTAATATCAGGGTAACTCACCTTATAGAATAAATTAGGGGTTATTCCCTCTTCCTCTACTTCCTAAAAGAATTAGCAAAGAAAAAATATTTCTTCTTTAAACATGTGATAGAATTCATCATTAGAGCCAACTGGCCCTGGGCTTTTCTTTGTGAAAAGATTTTTAATTACTACTTACACTTACTTACTTGTTATGAGTATATTCAGACTTTCCACTTATTCTTGAGTCAATAGTCCTAATTTGTGTTGTTCTGGGGATTTCTCTCTTTCACCTAAATTGTCTAATTTTCTGAAATAAAGTTATTCATAATATGAATAATATACAATGCTTTTAGTTTCTATAGGATCAGCAGTGCTATCCCTTCTTTCATTTCCGATTTCTACTTTTTTTCTTATTTTCTTAGTCAGTCTAGCTAGAGGTATGTCAAGTTTGTTGATGTTTTCAAGAAACAAGATTGTTTTTCTGTTTTCTATTTAATTAATTCCCACACTAAATTTTTTTTTTTTTTAATCTTTTACAGAGGATATTTTAATCTTTATTGCATGGTTAACAGAAAATCTTACGGTTTTGACAATATTATTTTTCATATCAGGCTGCTGTTTAATTTTGGAGTGGGGATAGTTCTGGTGCCTCAATGCATGGGTGGAATTTATAGACGCTGAAAACCACATTTGCTCCCAGAGCTAAACTTTATCATATCCTTCCTCTTGCTCGCTTGGGGTTTAGTTTGTTCTCTTTTTCTAATTTCTTAATGTGTAAGCTTAGGTTATTGATTTGAGACTTTTTTTCTTTTCCAATACAAGTGTTTACAGTTATAAATTTCCCTGGAAGCAATACTTTTAGATGCATCTCATAAATTTTTATATGTTATGTTTTTGTTTCCATTTGGTTCAAAATATTTTTAATTTCTCCAGTGATTTCTTCTTTGTTTCACAGGCTATTTAGAATATGTTATTTAATTTCCAAGTAGATGGGTTTTCTAGAATTTTTTTCCTGTTGTAAATTTCTAATTTAATTCTGCTTGTGGTCAGAGAAGATACTTAATCTTTTAAAATTTGAGACTTGTTTTGCGACCCAGCATAACATCTATCCTGGAGAATGTTCCATGTGTGCTTGAGAAGAATATGTATTTTGTAGTCAGTGGGTGGAGCATCATATAAGTGGCAGTTATGTCAAGTTGGTTGATAGTGTTGCTCAAGTCATCTATAGCCTTCTATAACCTTGCTTTTCTATCTAGTTGTTCTATCAATTTTTTTAACTTTATTTTTATTGTTGACACTATTACAGATAGCATCCCCCCTCACCTCTGCTCACCTTCACCTTCACAGTTGTTTGTGTCTATGGATTATGTATATATGTTCTTTGGCTAATCTCTTCACCTTCTTTCATCCAGTCCCCCTGACCCTGACAGCTGTCAGTCTGTTCCATGTATCCATGCCTCTAGTTCTATTTTGCTTATCAGTTTATTTTGTTCATTAGATTCCACATATAATTGAGATCTATGGTATTTGTTTTCTTCCTACTGGCTTATTTCACTTAGCATAATAATCCCTAGGTCCATCCATGCTGTCACAAAAAGTAAGAGTTCCTTCTTTTTCATGGCCAAGTAGTATTCCATTGTGTAAATGTACCACAGCTTTTTATTCATTCATCTACTGATGGACACTTGGGCTGTTTCCAGATCCTGGCTGTTGTAAATAAAACTGCAATGAACACAGGGGTGCATATATTCTTTCTGATTGGTGTTTCAGGATTCTTAGGATTTATTCCTAGAAGTGGGATTGCTGGGTCAAAAGGCATGAGGAAGGCCCATGCTGTTTTCCACAGTGACTGCATCAGTCTGCATTCCCACAGTATTGGAATCTTCACTACCATTGTTTCTCTATTCTGTCACTTGTTGCTTCGTATAATTGGGACTGTTATTGTTAGGAGTGTGTACATTTACAACTGTTATATCTTCCTTATGGATTAACCCTTCTGTCATTATTAAGTGTCCCTGTTTTTCTCTCGTATTATTTTGTGTCATAAAGTCTAGTTTGTCTGATTTTAATAAAGTCACTCTGGCCGGCTCTCTTACGACTACTGTTTGCATGGTTACGTTTTTTCCATCCTTTTACTTTCAGCCTCTTTGTGTCTTTGAATCTAAGGTATATCTCTCGTAGACAGCATATAGTTGGGTCTTGTTTTTTTATCCGGTCTGACAATCTCTGACTTTTGAGTGGGGTATTTGGTCTATTCACATTTAGTGTAATTATTGATATGACTGCTAGCAACAAGTCTCTCAGTCTTTAATTGGGACTGTCTTTATTTCTCGTTCATATTTGAAGGATATTTTTCTGTATATAGAATTCCTGGTGGGAGATATGTGTTATCCTCCATTGTTTTTAATGAGAAGTCAACCATTGACCCTATTTTTTCTATCCTTCTTTCCTCTTCTTCTAGAATTCTTATTATATATACGTTGCTGTGGTTCATGTTGTCCCACAGGTCTTTAAGCCTCTGTTTACATTTCTTCAGTTGTAAAAAAACACTTTGTTCTTTAGAGTGAATAATTTCTTTTGATTTACCTCCTGGTTCACTTATTTTTTCTTCTGCCATCTCAAATCTATTATTGAGTACCTCTGGAGAATTTGCCATTTCAGTCATACTTTTCAACCCCAGATTTCCCATTTGGTTCTCTTAAAAATCATTTCTATCTCTTTATTGAGATTCTGTATTCATTGACTCTTTCCTTGAATTCTTTAAACATCGTTTCCTTTCTATGCCTGAACATATTTAAATAGCTGCACTGCAGTCTTTTTCTGCTACATTGTAAATCTGAGGACACTCAGACACAGTTCCTATTGACTGCTTTTTTCCTGTGCATAAATCACACTTCCTGTTTCTCTGAATGCCTCTAATTTTTCTGTTGAATACTGGACACTTTACATAATACATGGTAGCAACTCTGGACTCTGGCTTCCTCCCAGAGCATTGTTATTGGTATTGTTCTGCTTGCTTAGTAATTTGTCTGGACTAAGTCTGTAAAATCTGTCTCCTGTATAAGGTACAGTTGCTCAAGTGTTCACCCATTTCCCCCCCTTGTTTTGATTTTAAGCCCGCTTTCCCAGGGGTCATCCCCATATCTGCATAGCTTAGTGTTCTGGCAAAGACTAGTCAGAGGTTTTGCTCACACACCTTGAGCCAGAAAGACTTCTCCTCTCTGCTTCTGACTCTGTGTGTGGGCTGGGGAGCACATTCAAATTTCAGACAGTTTCCATGTCAGCCCCAGCCTTTCCTTGCTGCTGGCTCTCTCTCTCTGTGTACACACAGGCTCTGTTGGCCAGGGATGGGTGGATGTCTTCGGCACACTCCATCTCTGCTGCTCGTGCACACAGACTAAGGTCAATCTGGGATACATGGAGAGCTATCAAGCTTCCCTCACATCTTCCAGAATTATCTATTAAGTTCCCAGCTAGACTACTGGTCCACTGCTTGTCCCAAAGAGGACTATAAACTCAAGACGGTAGAGCTACTGGCTCTTCCTGTTCACTTAACATTAACATGGCCACTTTTAACTAAAAATACTACAAATGGAGTATTCTCTAAGCACCAACAAGCTGCTGGTTTCCATAACCTGCCCTGCTCTGGTTAAAAGATCACGCTAACAGAGCTGGGGAGGAGGGAATGGAAGCAACCTTAGGCAAGAATGCCACAAACTCATGCTGTTCCTACCCAAAGTTTTGTAGTTTTCATGAACAAATAAATGCTCCTCAGTTTATTGCATGCCTTTGGTCAATTGTTAGAGAGCTAAAATGGATATTTTTGACAGTCTCTGTCCAGCTTTCTGGTTGATTTGGGGGGGAGAGGATTTGTCAATCTACTCATTCCATCATGCTGGAAGTCAGTACCTCAGCCACTCTCTACATTCTGCTGGAATTAGAATTATCAATGCTCTAAAAAAAATAGACCACGCAGGAGAAAATACCACTATGAAGTCTCATTTTCAAAGAAAAATGTTTGCCTTTGTTTTATGGGGGGAAAATCAACCAACAAACATAAAGTGGACTAAAAGCATACATTTAAATGATTATTTCATTAGATTAAATGAATTAAGAAATACCACTCCTAGGAAGCAGCACCTAGGGCCCTGCAGCTTAACTCCTTCACAAACATTAGAGGAACAAAATGCTCCACAGAAGGAACTGGTCCCAAAGTATTTCAGTGAAGATCACGTGTCCCACAGATGCTATCCTGCTCCTTCTGTTTCTTCTTATTTTCCCACCTATCTTACGCTTCAACCACGGTCAGTAAGATACACACATGGGCATTCTTGTAAGAGTCCCCTTTATGAAGTCTTCATCGAAGTCTCCCACACTGGTCATGTGCCTATCTTCCTATCACCTCTGATGGGCTGAGACCTCTTGGCAAGTCCTTTGAGTTCTGGACACCCTCACAGCTCCCAAGAAGGGAGATAAGAACTGCCCCATGCAGCCAGGAGTCCGGTTTCTTAGAATTGGAGACGCTTTTGAGATTTTTCTTTTTCTTTTTTTTTTTTTTGCGAGACCTCTTATGTTCAGATGGGGAAATTAAGATCAGGAAAATTAAGAGGTTTACCCAGGTCCCCTTCCAGGAGCATGATAAAGAAGGCCTCAGAAATTGTTACCTGAATGAATGAGGATCAGTCTAAGGGCCAGTGACTAGAAATGATTTCATGAAGCTCAAACCTGATGTTACACAGGCTCTGAGAACACTGGATCCAAAGGCCCCTGAGATCACTTTTTCCCACCCCTCCTCTCTCTCTTACCTTAGCAAAGAAAGTCCAGGCTGCATACTGCCCTGGGGCCACAAGGCTCTTCAGCTTCACTGTGCTGAACATGAGAAGGAATCCTAAAAATCCACTGGAAGGAGAAAATATTTTTTTTGTTAGTGAGGCTTGCCTTCTTTGAGCCAACAGGTAACTATTTCTGTTACATTTTACCAGTCAATTTCTAATTACTACACACCTATTTCATCTGTGCTTTCTAATGATCTCTAGATAAAAACACCCCAAATTAAAAAACCCATTAAGCTCCACTTTTCTAAGGAGCTGTGATGAGAGCATCTTCCTAGAGGTGGGGAGGGGGGAAACAGAAATTTGGGAGGTCTCTGGTTAAATCATGAAAGAAAAAAATGTGGAGGACAATACATCCTGCTCCCTCCCATATTACTTCCGCAGTTTGGTGCTTGCCAAGGTAGAGCTTCTAAATTTTTTTTTTTTCTTCAAGCAGAACAAACTGCCAGGAAAAGCATTCCAAAGGGAAATTCACCACATGAGGACAGAGGGTCTCTACTGTACTGGCCCCTGGGTTCCAGGCAAGAATCTGAAAGGGGAGGACTGGCTCCAGTAACAGAAGTCCCCCAAACCAGGTCTACCTACAGAGAAACGGTGCTTTGGGAATGATGCCTAAGCCCAGGCGTGTGGCCTGAAAAAGCCTCCTTCTTGGGGGGCTGAGGCTGGAGCAGCATCTCGGGGGCTATTCCAGGGTCTGCACCAGCAAGGCACTGACACAGCAGTGGACAGGAAGGTAGTGACCTGAGCTAGACCCATTTTCAAAAGTGTTACTGTGTGGCCAAGTCCAAAGCAAAGGGAACTCCAAACAGAAAGGTTGTGCTTCCTGACATTTGGAGGCTGGATGACTGGGGAAGAAAGTATGGCAGAGAGACTCATGATAGAGGCTCACTTCCTGCAAATAAATGCAAATGGGGGCATGAGTGTGACTTTTATTTGGAATTTAAAATTGAAAAGCATGTGACACAACTGCAGTTGTGCTCCAAACCAAAGAGACAGATCTTATGAGCTGTATCTGTTTGTACCCACAGGGCCTCAAGTGCCACACTGCCATCTGACCTTAATTAGAGGGACTGGTGTGTGGCTCCAACTCTGATCATGAACTCTGAGAGGGCAGGGCCTGATCTTGGGTTTCTCTGCATTTTCCCAACAGGGCCAAGCATGGAGCCTTGGTCATAGTAGATATTACATCAACGTTGGACATGCTTACTTGGAAGCAGCTTGAATTGAAGAAGGCCAAATTTCACAGAAGTGTGTGCCCTCGCTTCATTAGATTAGATTAGTTCACAGCCACATTCTTGGCGCAGGACCAGAGATAGGCCTTAGGCTTCCCTTGTGTCTATATCAGCTTGCTTGGCCCAGTTGACCTGCAAATTCGTTCAGATTTGCATCTGGAGTCATGGGAGGCAGAGTAGCTCTGGAGTAAGACATGGAGTCACTCAAACCCGAAAGGCAAGGAGACTCTTGTGGGAAGCAGCAGGCTGGAAATCAAGTGACCTGAATATCTGTTCTCAGCCATGCTTATTGACCCTTGTAACCTTGACCAAATCCCCCCTTTTTCCTTTTTCCCCTTTTTTCTTGCCTCAGGTTCTATGTTCTTAAAGTAGGAATGAGCACAGTGGTCCCTAACCTACCTTATGGAAATCAGACATTTTTCAGAACAGAAAGGTTCCCCAGCCCCAAGTCTCACTTTATTAACAAGCAAACTGAGGCACAGTTACAATTATAATCCAGGTTTCCTGGCTCTTGCAATAATTTTCCACTTCTCTTCAAACCTCACCACGGATGCTCTTGACCAGAGAGACAAAGTGAGATGCTGCAGGTGCCCATGGCTGTGAGATTGAGTGTGGAAAGCAAGGCAGCCAGCGCTCAGGGTTCTTCTGGGTGGAATCCACTCCCTGCGTCCAAGGAGGTAACAACTTCACAGGTGCCTATCCAATCCCCCCATACTTCCTTTCCCTCTGGTCCTCTCCTCTCCTCTCCTCTCCTCTCCTCTCCTCTCCTCTCCTCTCC